TTGGGTTTCTTAACAATAATGCTATTTATTGTTACAAGAAGAATGTCAATGGGATTATTAAGGGGGTATTGTGTTTCACATAAGCGGTGCCAATTTCATACATGTTAGAAGAATGTTTATCAAAGTTGATCACTCCAAAGAACACCATATTTTGTTTCAAATCACTTCTTGAACATAGCTAAGAAAAAGAACGAGGTTATCTTGAGGAAGGTTTTATCAAGTGACCACATTGAGCAAAATTTGGCATTGCTCAAGTCAAGGACATAGGGAGATTACAACATAGCACTCCCATAATGGGATCATCTCATTTATCTTGATCCATTGAAGGGAAAATGTAGCTTTTTGCTTTAGGAAAGGCATCCTTTTCCTTGATAATCTAGCTAATGGAAGTGAACAAAGCATATCACCCTTAAAATTAATGCATACTAACATGTTGTTTGATTAAGAGTATTATAATTCATTTGAAAAGTAGGATTAGATGGACATGAATATTTTTTCGATAAATGGTTATATAGAATAATTATACCCTTAATATGATTATATGATAATGTAGAATTTTTGCATGAAGAAACAAAAATGAAAATAGATCTTTTTTATTATATTCTTAATGAAGAGAATTTTTTAAATATTTTTATTTAAATTAGTAAAAAAAAAGGGCATTGTCCTTTTGATAATATGGTTCTTTTTTTTCCTATTTTCAATCAAGAATAAAGATTTAGAAATAAATTGCATCCAATAGGATTTGAAGATATACCAAATGTTTAGAAGACCTCTGTCCTATCCATTAAATAATGGACACCTTTCATTCCTTTTTTCCATTTTTTTTTGACAAAAGATTCTTTCAAATTCTTACATAAAAATAAGAAAGTTGTAAAATGAAATTGATGATGAATTTGTATATCATATGAAGTTAAGGAATGAGTATGTAGCGAGTAGCAGAAATCAAACCCACAACGTTAGTGTGGAAGGCTAGGACTTATAGTTGGCGTACGTTTATCATTTTTAACATCTCTAATTAAAAACTAAACATGATATTTTTATTTCATTCAACTCCTTCCATCAAAGAACTATGTATAGAAGAGGGGGATTCTACTATAACTTGAACACTAATATCAAATTTTACTTTCATTGAGTGCAATGAGTCTGATGGAAATCTAAATGTAGGTGATTTGAAATTTAAAAATAATAAAAAAATTTTGGGATCATATGTGCTTGATTTTATATATATATATATATATATATAGACACACACACACACACACACATACAGAGAGAGAGACACATACAGGGGGAGAGAGAGAGAGAGAGAGAGAGAGAGAGAGAGAGAGAGAGAGAGAGAGAGACTACAGAGAGAGAGAGAGAGAGAGTACTCATTATTCTTGATGCTTCATCAAGAAATATTTTCTCATGTAACATGAATCTAGAGGCATTTTCTTAGCAACAAGCATTCCATATTCAAATTCAAGATCATTAATGACCCTGATTTTAACAAGTTTATAGTCAAATTGATTGTCTTGATAAGACAAAGCCAATGATATGAAAATTGGTTCAATCCAGGTTCAATAAAGCCCAAATCAATCCATTAAAATATATTTGGATGCTTTGAATTATTAATTGAATGGTCAAATGAACTCAAAATTTGACATATTTATAGTCAAATCGAGTATCTTGATGAGAAGAATCCAACAAGTCAAATATTACTCACTTCCATGGTCATTAAAATTCTCATATCATTAAAAAATTTGTTTTGATCTAGGTTAATCAATAAAAAACCATTCTATTAAGTGGTAGGGAAGTTATTTGTCAAAAGATAAAAAAACCCCACCGAAAAGTCTATAAAATACATTTCTCTTCACTTGAGAAGGGAGAGGGGAAGAAGAGGAATTTGAGAGCTCGTTGTGTAGAGTAGTCCCGATGATAACCTTCAATATTCGTAGTTGCAGACAACCGTTGACTACCACCATCGACCGTCGTGCCATTGCCTGCTGCCTCTGACCACTAGGTGCTAGCGACCTATGTTTGCAAATGTCATAGTCTGAATATGATCTTTGTGCTTATAAAATGTATTAAACTCTCGACAATAACTATCAACCTCTGTAATCATTGAGCACCGTTGACTATTGCTTGTTGATTGACCACCGTAGACCACTGTCCGTCATTAACATCCAGCGACGCTTACCAAATACCACTAATGACTTTTATTTGTAAAACCTCGTAGTCTGAATACAACCATTGTGCCTAACACCTATATTGAAGACCTGATGAGTAAGGATTCCTCTGCTGCCAACCACAATTGACTATTTCCTGTCTGCCATCATCGACCACAATTAGCCATCCCCACCGACCACTGGCCATTGGTGGCCAATTCTTGCAACTATCATAATCATAATATGGTCTTTATAATAAGTATTGCTATTATAGCAAACAACTATGACCTTTATAGTCTAATACTATAGTTTTCAACTATAATATTTCTATCTAAATGTAGTTATTGTAACCACCGATAGCCCTTATTGCAAAATATTGTCTTTGTGGCCACCAACTTCGGCTTTTGTAGACGACAACTACTATTATAGTTTCCAATTACAACATTTGCGGTCAACTATTGCTATTGCACCATTTACTACAACATTTGTGACCAACTACAACTTACTGTTTGCAAATATGACCTCTATGACTAATTGTCACTATTGTAGTCACCAATTATATGCTTTATGGCCAACTACTGCCAGTGTCCATTAACTATAATCTTTGGTGCCAACTACTATTATTATAGTTTCTAAGTATGACATATGTGGCCAACTATAGTTGTTACAACTACTTATTTCAATCTTCACGATCAATTACTGTCTTTGTAGCAACTATAACTTTTTTTGGCAAATTGTTACTATTACATCTAAAAGTCAAATTTAGTATAGTTAAATTATGACTGTTATAACTAAACTGTTATTATACATCAGTGTTTTTCAGCTTTTTATTTTCATCATATCAAATTCAAAGGAAAATTGGACCCATGTACTTTCAATTACACAGTGGATTACTTTAACTTAGTCAAGCCGCATAAAATTTTCCCTTTTTCAAGGTTTTTCCACATAAATAAATCTGGTGTCTTTTTCTACTTCTCTTCTTTTATCAGTGGATGTGTTGAATTTTTGTATAACTCTAAGACTTCAAAATATCAATCAACTATCGTGAAACTTCAAGCACATAACAATTCTCCTAAATTTTAATGATGGAATTACAGTTTGAATGGCTAAATTAGTGAGAGGGTAGTATGCTTTATGCTTTCTAGGAATCAATGTAAATTTTGGTTGCTAATTTAAATATTTTATGATGATTTACAGGAGTAAATAACAACATCTAACGTGAGGGTGTTAAATTAAGATCACATGTTGGGTTAGAGTTTAACCTTAAGTTAACCTTATCCAATATAGTTGGACTTGAACCAGATTCTATTAGTAAATGGATCAAAAAATCTAACCCAAACTCAACCGACTTTCCACCCGACTAATTCGCACCCGACCTATATAATCAGTTTAACATATGCAAAATAATTATTCGGGCTAATTTTAAATTTGGGTTTCTTTTATGCTGACCAATCAAGTTTAAGTTGACAGATGATATGAATTAGAACAAAAAAAATTGAAAGTATTAAAAATTTGGATTTGAATTTGATAAAAATATAATAATAATAATAATAATAATAATTTCAAGTCAAATTAATAATAAACTAGAATGAGGCACAGTCAAATTTGAGCGCTGCACAATTCTCAGCGCCCGATCTAAAAGGCCACTTCACGTAATTTATCAATTTACTTTTCTATCCACACACATACATATATAATTGCAAAGATTCAAGGGGCTACCAAGCAAGAATGCCAACGATCCAAGCAAATACAAAATTATACTGCTGAAAGTCTTCTTCAAGTTAAAGGCGTCGAGAATATGAAGACCAGTTGGCTTCCTCTCCCCCTCCCTTTCCTTGGCCAAATTTCTTCGCTCCATCCCCAACTCCTCCTTTCTTTCTCTCCCCCAGCCTCGCATTTCTTCTCCTATTCCTTTCCAATTCACCATTTTCCTAAACTTTCAGATTTACTCCCCCTGATTTCGATCTCTTAAGATTGAATCAAAACGTCTTGAATGATACCGACGTTTGCGCTGTTCCTCCTGTCCTGGCTCCAACGAGCGTGTCTTGGCAATCCCTAACCCTCTCTCTCTATTTCTTTCTTATTCCACGCTTGCCCTGAATGCATCCTTTCTGCTGTACCTCACCCGTTCCCGTCTCCCCCGTCGCCGGCGCTTCTTCCACCGTTCCGCTGCAACCGATGCCCACCCCTCCGCCGCAGTCGCCGCCTCCTGCCGCCCGCACAGACCAAGGTCAACTCCTTCTCCACTTACCCCACACGCGCAGCACTCGCTCTGCCCCAACGACCTCCCCTCCCCACTCCGCCACCGCCGCCTCCGCCTCCGCCGCCTGCGGTAACGGTTTTCGATGGCCGAGCGTCCCTTCCCTATCCGCTGACTTCTCCTCTATGCGCATCTCTTTATGCTCACATAATACGACGCTGCTGAGCTCCGCCTCAACGACACGGTTGGCAACGGCATCGCGGGCATCCTCCACAAGTGGGTGAACTATGGCCGCGGTTGGCGTCCCCGATGGTTTGTGCTCCAGGACGGCGTTCTTTCCTATTACAAGATCCATGGCCCCGACCGCATCAAGCTCCACGAGCAGGCCGACAAGGGCTCCAAGCTCATCGGCGAGGATTCGCTTCGCCGCGTTAGAAGTCATCGCCGTAATGGATCGAACTCCCTCAACTCCATCCAACGCAAACCGATTGGGGAAGTCCACCTCAAGGCAATATCCGGGGAAATTCTTTCTACTGCTTTCTTGCTTGTCGATGAGTTTTGATTTGATATGTTGTTTTTTTGTGTACTTGCCCTATTGTTTTAGGTAGCGACAGTGAGGGAGAGCAGATCGGACGACAGAAGGTTCTCGATATTTACAGGAACGAAGAGGCTACACCTGAGGGCAGAGACGAGGGAGGATCGAGCGGCGTGGACGGAGGCTCTTCAGGCTGTGAAAGAAATGTTCCCGAGGATATCCAATAGCGAGCTTATGGCGCCCGTCGACATCTTCGTGGTGTCAACGGAGAGGTTGAGGCAGAGGTTACAAGAAGAGGGGGTGAATGAGGCGGCAATTCAGGATAGTGAGCAGATCATGAGGAGCGAGTTCGTGGCGTTGCAGGGACAGCTTGCCATTCTTAAGCAGAAACAGTTGCTTCTTACTGATACCCTCAGACTGCTAGAGGTATGAAGTAGAGGAATCTCTGCTCCTAAAATGTGCGATCCTGAATCTCTTCAAGAATACTGCATTCGTTCTTTATCTTGATTTTCGGAAAGATTTAGATGCTGTAAAGCATTCTTCATTGGCAATTGAACAAAGATCAGTAAACAAAGGCATATATATATATATATATAT